AGAGGGGGGGCGGGGAGCCGACGGGGAAGGAAAAAAGGCATCGAGGCTTCGACGTGGAGGCGCGCCGCGTATATGAGTCAAGGCGAAACGAGGTCTGGTCTCATGAACCTTACATAAACCAGCCTGGTCGCCGTCGTCCGACCTGTCCCTCGTTATCCCTCTTCCTCCCGAACGAACGAGCATCATATTAAACTGTGCCCACTTCGAACACTTTTTAATTCGGAGTTTCTTTCGTCCCTATTCGAATCGGCTTGCTCGATAATTCCTGTACACTGGTGAATGTTCAATGCGCACAATGAATTTTAACCCTTTGTCCGAAGTGCTCTTGGTTTCTCACTTTGAGGTTCGACGTTCAATTGCAGCTTAAGACGCTCTGTTTATTTATTCAAGAATATTTGGGAGTTATTGGAATGTTACCTTCAAATGGTACAATTGTGATACAAATGAATATAGAAAAAATTGTTTAAACAGGTGGAGGTTACAATAAAATAAGGTTAACACTACCGTAAGTCAAATGACTGTTTAAAATTTCGATTAGAATTTCCTATAGACAACGCAATTGAATCGCCTTTATACTTAATTAACTGCTTTAGGAATTTCTCAGGGAACACTGAATCTATCGAGTTGATCTTTGAAAAATTCATTGCCAAAACTAGAAACGTGGGTTTATTGAGATCTAAATTGCTTGAAATCTCAGGTTAGGTATAACTTTTCAGTAATTCCTCAGAGATATTCGTACGTCTTCAGCAATCCCAAAGGAAAAATCGAGGAGTTCTAGTGTTAACCCATTAAGTCTTAGTGATCTATTAATAGATCACTCACTCTAAATTGTTCTAGACAATTCATTTGTTAATAAATAATGTATCTGATCGCCTTTGTACTTCACGACTTTTCCTAAAATACATGTATAAAACATTCTTCAATATTCACTCCCTTTTTAGTGTTTATTTTCTGAGAAAAATTTGTGGTCTGTCTTACCTACCACGACCGGTCATTTGACCGGTAGAGCGATTTGTATCTTTTTGTAATAGTATTCTCTCAAAGACTCGATTCCGAAACTATAAAGTCACAGATACAAGTACGGGTTCACGCGAACGGAAACCGTGCCAAATAAGATATTGCATAAACAATGAGACTAAGAAAATCTGTCTAAAATGTAAAAAGTACGTGTGTGGGAAACGTACAGTCGACAAACCTATTTGTAAAAAATGCGGTGAAAACGAATAGAATGTAAATTATATACTTCTAAATAAAAGAAACTATATTTGTGTACTGTTACATTGGCTATTATCTTCATTCTATATTAAAAAATATAAGTTGCTCTAGAGTTCCCAGATCAGGAAATTATTTATTTAGACCAATCGGACTGCAAGGATTTCTTTGTCCGGGATACGCGTCGAGTGAAAGTAACGAGAAAGTCGGCGAGGATACGGTTAAAAGTAGTTTCATTACTTTGGTGTACCTCGATTGTCTTTTCTGTTCTTTTCTGATTATTACTGAGCTGCGTGCTTGTAATTGTGAATTAAGACGATTAACTTGCATTTCTCCATGCATTAAATAAGCATAGAGAAACGAAGGTAGAGAAAGCTTCAACGTTTACTGTTACAAAGAATTCGTTAACCTCTCAAATCTCTCAGAATTCACTAAACAAGGTAGAGCAAACTCCTAAAGAACGACGCCGAAGACAGGTAAGAAACCGCAAGATCTTCGAGGAATCACGGCGCGACGAAATCCAATACCGCGACGCATGCGAGCGGACGCGGTCTCCGCGCCAAGAAGAAAACTGGCCGCAAAACGTCTGGCCGATAGCCGCGATTCATCAACGACACACCTAACTCATTCACGATTCACTTGGCGCGGGCCTCATAACGCGGAATCTATCGAGTGAGGAGCTCGCCTGATAAATGTACCGATCGATGGCCGTCGAAACACTCGCAAACACGAGGCAGAAGAGGTTCGCCGCGCGGGTCAGAGGTGATACCGGCAGTTTTTCTTTCTTCCCGGCCGCCGCGGGGGAGGAAAACGCCGTTGAAAATATTCGATTTCCGCAGGAAGGCTGCGAGCGCTCGCTCCGAAAGTAGGTAAGCCCCTTAAAGCGTTCGGCACGTAGTGGTCGAAGAGGGACCAAACGATCCTCAACTTCCAGAACCCACGCACAACCTCCGACCTTTATTCTCCTCATATTCCGACAGCCATTCTCGCCCTCCTGTTTTTCATTTCGTATCGATTCGCGAGTTAGAGCAATTTGCGAGGATCGAGCCTTGGAATCCGAGCATTCATTCTGGTTCTCTGGACGAAGGTTCTTTGGCAGCTGAATTGTATTGTTAACACTAGAAGTACTGTAACAGTCAGAATGACTGGTTTTGATTGTTTTGTGTAGCAATTATTGGTATCTTCGAAATGATTTTGAAAATAGCTTCATTTGAGTACTATATGAGTGTCTGAAGAAAGTGGAAATAATCTATTGTTGCAATTTTTAAGGGAATTGCATGTTAATCGTATTAAATCGGTAGTTCTAATGTTAAATAGTAGAAGGAAACTTGCTGATTTGCTGTTCGAGATGACTTTGTCTTTGGAATATGAGATATAATTTCAATATAATAATATAATTTAATAATATAATTTCAACATAATTTAATATAATTTCGTCTGCTTGGAAGCTAGATGAAATTTCTTCCTGCTTTTCGGTAATCTATCAATCTAATCACTTGATTCATCAGACAAACCTATTAAATGTCTCGAATCTTCAACGATGAAAGCAAAATCTCACAGATCTAAGCTACAAACCTAATTACGTTGCTCGTCAAATTAGAGTTAAGAGTCCAAGATGCGCGTTACATCTACATTTACAATACCTGTTGCGCGTTAACCCTTTGCGGACGAACCTCGGCATTTTTGAGGTGAAACTTCCATATTTGGAATACCAAGTCGCAAACAAATGATTTAACTATTCGAACAGCAAGAAATCAGTATCTTTATTCTCTATGAATTAAGCGTTCAGTGTTCAATTTAGCAGAATTTGCAATTTTGTATACTTTCAACAATCTTCAAAGGGTTAACCCTTTGTCAGAAGTTTTTGAAACTTATGACTTGTCCCCGAAAATGTCGAGTTACGTATGAAAGTCTTAAACACTAGAAAAAGAGAACCACGCATCTATCTCTCGTTATTTGAACAATTAAATTATGCAGCTTTCGAATTTAGATTTCTGATCAAGGCTGAACAATCTTCATCTTCAAATAGTTACCAAATCTAAGGAAACAGAAGACAATCCGGAAAGGCAGAGCAATGAACGCGTGAAGAAATCGATGCATAGGAATCGCGAGAAATGCGTCGGAAGAGCTGTTGAGTCAGGATGAGAACCGCTGGTGGAGGAACGAAGCCACAATGCCAACCGATTGATTTACGTTGCTCGTTACGCGGTCCACTGCTTCGAAGAGAGAAAAATAAATTGATAGAGGGTGACGGCGTG